ACAACAACAACAACAACAACAACATTGAAAAAGTGGTGGCGAAGAAGTTGAGTTGAGTAGGGCAAAACAACAGCAAAAGTTGAGCGTTGGAAAGTTGAAATGAAAAGAGTGTGTGCCTTGCTGGTGAAGAGCAAATAAATCGGCAACGTAGCAGTCAGTCAGTCGGTCGGTCTTCTCTTCAATAATCCGCTTCCACCGCGCGCGCAATCGGCGCCCGTCAATCGGTGCAAAGACTGTGTGAAGCAGTGCACTGCAACGGAGAACGGAAAAAGGTTGCTGATGATGACTACTACCGCCGCTGCCGTCTCTCGCAGTCGACCGAGTTTTGAGAAAGAGAAAGGGAAGGAGAAAGAAAAAGAGGAAAAAGTCTCAAAGCTCTAAAGTCGAAGCTAAAAGAGAGAAAAAGAATTGGGAAAGAGACGGGCGCGTGCGACCAGTGCACAGTGTGTGTGTGTGTGTATTGTAGAATCCACTGCCAAAGGGAGTGAATGAGTGTGTGTTTGCCGAATCCGTACGATTCTACAACGAAAGCAGCAGAGGAAGCAGATGCAGAAGCAGGCACAAACATATTGGCTTTCGGCGACCAGACTGGCTATATACCACCACCACAGTGAAAAGTGATGAGGAAGGGGAAGAAGAGGATGAAAACGAAAGGGAAAGAGGAAAGAGAATAGAGAATAGAGAAAAGGGGAAATTGGAGCAAAATTGAACTCACAATGAGCGCTTGCGGCGTTGGCGGTCGGCTCTTCTCTCCTTTTCTTTCGCTTTGACCAGATTTACTGAAATCACTGCTGGTTAAAGGAGAGGGGGCACACGCTGAATCCGAGAATTGAAGAGAATAGAATGCGTTGAGAGGGAGTTGTGGATCACCGTTGGAACTTTTTGGAAATGAGTTTTTGGAAAAACTATAGTTTGAAAAGCTTGTCCTTGAAAGAAAGAAAGCGTTCTTTTGTTTTTTTGCTGATCGGTTGTTACAACCTTTATGAATGGGCACCGCTGGCCATTTTTTTTCGCTTGCTGTTGCGCTCTTTTTCGAAACTCGGCGAGCTTCGGAAGATGAATCCGCCGTTTCGATTTAGAACTTCATCGGCACCGCCACCACCATCAAAGCTTTCGTTGGCGAAGAATGTGCGGCAGCAACTGCAGCATCAGCAACAGCCACAGAAGAAGGAGGAGGAAAGGTCATTCAATCAGCGGTCACCACATCATTCAGAGGCGGAGAAGAAGAAGGCGGTGGTCAATGTCAGGGCGCCATCACCTGGAATCATCTTCTCGCCGCCGACGTTTGACCTGAGCAAGGAGGGGCGATTTGCCTATGGCATGGCTAGAGGCTCTCTACCGATGATACCAGCACTATCAGCAGCTAATGTGCGGCCCCAAGGGATCATTAACCTGCAAACTTCACTCGGGTTTAAAAAGGCTACACAGACTGATGATCAGCAGCAGCAAGATCCATCACCACCATCACCTGAAGTGAGCAGTAATGAAAACGCGCTTAGAGGTGGTGATTCCCCTCATCGTAGCCACTATCAACAAAAGCACCAGTACTTTACCCTTCGACGACCTTCAGCGACTTTTCGCCCTCCTCCTCCTCCTCCGGTGCAGTCAATCAAAGCGGTGACTGCACCAGAAATCACAATAGCACCAGCAATCACAAGAGCACCAGCAATCACAATAGCACCAGCAACGCTAATAAAAGCCCCTTCAATGGCACAAATAGCCTCAAAATCAACACCGACATCGTCTTGGTCAGCACCAGCAGCAGCAGCTCCACCACTACCACCTCCTCCACCAATACCACCTCCGCCTCCACCAAAAACTTTGACTTTCAAAAAGGAGGTTATCCCGTGGATTTCGGACCAGAAAAGCAGTGCCAGCAACAGCAAAGTTAAAAAGGAACGGAACCAAATCATCACCGCGGGTATCAGCAGCAGCAATGACAACTCGGCAAATAAGCGACCGTTCAAGCGGCCACTTTTCCCAGAGTCTACGACTGCCATCAACAAAAGCAACAGCAGCAGCACCAAGAAACGCAAAGAGCCGGTGATCAAGATAGGAAAGTACGACATGCTCGGTCAGCTGGGGTGCCCAAACACCAGCACCAATTCACTGCCGCTACTCTTCAACCACAAGAAGCCCTTCAAGAGCTCACCGGTGAAGGACATCGACCCGGCCGATCTGTTGGAGTTGGATGAAAAGTTCTTTATTGACTAAAGATGCTTTTTTTGTTCAGACTATTTAGTTTTTTCCTCCCATTTTTGCAGTCCAACTTCTTTTCAAAATTCTAACTTTTCCCATCAGTTCATCAAAGTTCTAAAACGGCAAAAAACGATTCAGACCACAATAAAAGAGCCACCTCCTGCCAGGCAGTTGCTCATTTTACCGTGCTGGTTGGTTGATTAGGCTCTGCTCAGCCCATTTTGAATCTTCACTTTGTCAAAGCAAATTACCCTTACCTCCTGAAAACACGTCTTCACTCTAAACAGTCCACGATGGATCCCTCGGAGCGCGACGACATTCTCAAGCTGCTGTACGCCGACGCCGACTTTGCCGCCCTGAACGACAGCAACAACACCAACAACTTGAAGAACGAGGGAAAAGAAGAGGAGGGGTCCTCCAGCATGATTCGCGCCCAGCTCGAGTACATTCTCGTCAAGTACTATGACTGTCCGAGTTTGGTGGCTGAAAAAAACGAAAGCTCCGGCAAGGCCCGAGACGCCTGGCTCCTCTTGCAGCTGGAGGCGGTGCAGGGTCGCCTGGCCGCCTGGAACCAGAAGGTCAATCGCAAGTCCTACACGGAGGCAAAGAAGCACCGGAAGGCGGCCCGAAAGACGCTGGAGACGCTCGCCAAGCGGACGGCCGAGGCCTCTTCGGGCTCCTCTGCCAAAATCGAACCCTCGGAGGTGCGCCACCACCTGCGTCAAGCGGAGCGCCACCTCTCGAAGGCCCTCCTTCAGACGCCCTACTCCCCCCAGGAGATCATCGACAGCGAGGTGGACCGCCTGCTGGCGCTCAAGTTCAGCCTGCACTCGGAGCGAGCGTCGGTTCGATTTCGCCTGGGCCTCCTTCGAGCCGCCGCCGTGGACGCCCGGATGGCGCTGACCGCCGCTGAAACGCTTCAGGAGAACAACGCCCTCTCTGCTTCTTGTTCTCCTCTGCCGCAGATTTCCGCCGGCTGCGTCGAGGAGGTGAAGATCCTGGCGGTGCGCTGCCTGGCCGGCCTGGGGCTGCTAAAGGTGGGCGAGGAAGAGGAGGAAGAGGAGGAGGAGGAAGAGGAAGATGGGGAGAAGGTCGACGTTGAGAAGGTGATTGACTGCATCACCTTCACGAAGGAGATGAATGATGGTGACCCCAAAGCTGCTGACAAAAAGGAAGCAGCTCAGGAGGTGGTCTTCGAGCTGGCGAAGAAGCTGGAGAAGTTGCACGACAGCGACTCCAACTTTCACGTTCGAAATGCGCCCACTCTGGGGGGCCTAGCCTACCCCACTGGCGAGCCCTTCTTTCGCTACCAGGCCGACCTGGCCAGCATTGAAATCAAAGAGGCCGCCCACAAGGGACGTTACTTTGTGGCCGCCGCGCCCATCATGGCCGGCACCTGGCTGCTGGTGGAGAAGCCGTACAGTAGTGTGGTGCACAAGGACTTCCTCGCCACCACCTGCAACTACTGCCTGAAAGAGCTGATGGTGAAGACCGAAGGTGGTGGTGGTGAAGAGGAGGAGGAGGAAGAGGCGGGCGAAGCTTTAGAAGAAAAGGACAACGGCGACGAGGCGGCGAACCAGGACGTGAGCCTTGGCCTGCCCTGCGACTTCTGCACCGAGGTGCGCTACTGCAGCCCGGACTGCGCCGAAGAGGCCTACAACGCCTACCACCGTCACGAGTGCGGCTTCCTGGGCTTCCTCCTCAAGGCTGGACCGCTGGCCGGCGTCCACACCTACCGCATCATCGCCAAGACGGGCCTAGAGGNTTCCTCCTCAAGGCTGGACCGCTGGCCGGCGTCCACACCTACCGCATCATAGCCAAGACGGGCCTAGAGGAGGCCTTGGCCGAGTGGAAGAGCAAGAACAACAAGGAGAACAAGGACAAGGACAACAACAAGGAATACGGTACGTCCTCTCTGAACGAGTACCTCGAGGCGGTGGCGCTGCGCACTACCAGCGACCTGGACGCCCTCACCGATCCCGCCCACCGCCGCCTGCTCTTTCGCATGTCCACCTCGCTGGCGGTGCACCCTCAGGCGTACAGCGCCAGCTGGACCGCCTGGCACGCCTTCCAAGCGCTGGACGCTGCGCTGGTNAGGACAAGGACAACAACAAGGAATACGGTACGTCCTCTCTGAACGAGTACCTCGAGGCGGTGGCGCTGCGCACCACCAGCGACCTGGACGCCCTTACCGATCCTACCCACCGCCGCCTGCTCTTTCGCATGTCCACCTCGCTGGCGGTGCACCCTCAGGCGTACAGCGCCAGCTGGACCGCCTGGCACGCCTTCCAAGCGCTGGACGCTGCGCTGGTTCTTCTGCTGCGCAATCGCGCCCTGCTGAAGAAGGTTCAAAAGGAAGGTGAAGCATCTTCATCCCCTGGAGCCGCTTTCCGCCTCCTGCTGGACGTCTTTGAGCTGGCCCTCGAACAGGTCCGTCGCATCACCGTCAATGTCTTCGGCAAGTTCGACTACGGCGGCCCGAAGAAGCGCAACATCGCCACCGGGCAGATCTTTGTCGGCTCGCTGGTCAATCACAGCTGCGCCCCCAACGTCGAGTGGAGCTGGTCGGCGGGGCACGTCGTCTTCAAGGCCAGTCGGGACATTGCCGCCGGCGAAGAGCTGAACATCACCTACGGCCAGACCAAGTCGACGCCCTTTCAGGATCGCCAGGAGGCGCTGCAGCAGCACTACCACTTTCTCTGCGGGTGCCGCCTCTGCCGCGCCGACCTGGTGGGTGGGAATAGCGGCAAAGGGAGTGGCGAGAACGGCCAACTAGTTGCCCGCTGCCAGTCTTGCAACCAGGGACCGCTGGTGAGCGCCGACGGGCACGCCGGCTGTCTGGACTGCTACGCTGAGACGAGCCCGAAAGAGGTGGCCTCTGCGGTGGCCGAGCTGGCGAAGGCCCGGGCCAGTCTGGCCTATCAGGCGAAGATGCTCAGCAGAGCTTCTCTGAGCACTGCCACGGCTGGAGACAAAGGAGGAGGAGGAGGAGGAAAAATAGCCCAACTTATCAAGAGGAAGAGCCTGAACTTGACGGTGTCCGTCCTGTCGGCGCTGCAATCGGCGGAAAACAGTCTGCGCACGCTCGCCTACCGTCCCTCCGCCCCCTTCACCGCCACCCTCTGCCTCCTCGGACGCCTCTACCTGCAGATGGACAAGCTGGGGGCGGCGGTGCGCCTCTGCCCGCTGGCCGAAGAGGCGGAGGCGGCCATTTCCACCTTCCACGCTCAGCAGCAGTCGGGCGTCACCAGCTCTTCAGAGGGACCACCTCCACCTTCTCCTCCTCCAAAGATGACCACCGCCGAAATGGAGGACAAGCTGTCGCAGCTCGCCGTGTGGACCGAGGTGGGTCGTCAGTTCTATTTGGCCTATTTGGTGGTGGAGGGCAATGACGGAGAAAAACAGCAGAAGTCCTTTTTGGAGAAGCAGGAGAGTTCCAGTGGTGTTGGGCAGGCGGAGGAGCAGGCCGTCACGAAGCTCTACCTGCGCTACTTCAAGCTGGCCATCGCCTACATCACCGCCCGCACCAAAGGCGACGGCGACGGGCTGAAGGTGTGCGAGCTGCTGAAGCAGCCCGCCTACGCCGACGCCAAGCTCGTCTTTATGCTCGCCGAGCAGAAGAAGGCCGAACTGTGGGCGATGGTCGAGCCCCAGTCCTAAGGCCCAGCTTTGGCCAACTTTTTCAACAATTTTTATTTTTTATTTTTTTCTTCACATTTCGGCCACACACAGCCCAACACCATCCTTTTCCCTCCAGTTGGCTGTTGTTTTGATTTTGATTTTTTGCATTTTACCACCACGGCCATTACGCTCGCCCACTTTGGGCAGCACTTTTACCGTGTTTTTATTATTAAACTTTTAACACTTCAATCTCTCTTTTTTGACTGGGCCTAGACTAGCTAGATTAAGAACTTTAAAAAACTATAAAGAAAGTGGTGGTGCTGGTAGTGTGTGTAAGAGAATTTGGAATCAGTGATTAGAGGATAGAAGAGTAGTAATAAGCGTAAAAAGTTTGAAAAGAGTTGTGTGAGGAGGAGTAAAATTAAGACGGTTTGAAGCGAAGAAAAACTGAAAAAAAGCAGAGGAGACTCACACATTGTTCACTGGTATTCATTTTAGTATCCATCGTCATCATCGTAATCATCATCCTCAGGACCAATGTCGACAATGACTGGCTCGCTGAGCAGTGCGCCGAACTTGGGCGGCTCCTTCTCCTCGGTGGTACTCTTCTTATAACCACCACCATCTGCCACAATAGCTTCAGAGTCGTTTGAGGAGGAGACGAGAATAATGCTGTCATTCGCTTCTTCTTCTTCAGATGGTGAAGCCTCATCATCCGCTTCCTCGTCCTTCGTTTCATCGAATAAAATCCCCGCAGAGCAATCTTGATTCTCAGTCACTTTATCAATTCCGGCTCTGCTGCTCTCATCGGCAGCGCTGCTGCTGCTGTCAAACACCTCCTCAATGGTAGTGGTGAGAGGGTGAGAGGTTGAAGCATTGGCGGAGAAGCTGGACAGCTTTCCGCAAGTTCGAGACGGCGGAGGCATCAAGTGAAGATCGTCCGTGGATTGTGGTGATTGCGACTGTGACGATTGTGACTGATGATGAAACTGACGCGAAGGCAGCGGAATAAAGTCGTTGCTGAGGACTGACTTGACGTTGGTGTTGGTGTCGGAGCTGCTGCTGCTGCTTTTGCTGCGTTTTTGAGGGGGAGAACTAGAACCCTCCACCTCCATCGAACTGCCGCTAACGTCAGCCATGTTGCTACTGCTGTTGGAGTTGTTGTTGTTGTTGTTGTTGTTTTCATCGTTAGTGGTGGAGTTCATACAGGACAACTCTTCTTCCCAGTCATCGGGAAAGATGAGCTTTTTGCGGCTGAGGCGGCGTTTTCCCTGCTGACCCTGCTGTTGTTGTTGTTGGCTGCTGGTGCTGTTGCTCTTGTTGTTGACTCTGGCCTCTCGAGCTGGAGAAGGGGCTTTCGGCGGCGGCGGTGGAGGCTTTTGAACGGTAGCTACCTCCGCGGCAGGAGAAGTAGAAGAAAAGGAGCAGTCCAAAAACTGGTCCTGGTCCTGGGCCGAAACCGAAGACTCTTCGCTGGAGAACGGAATGAGCGGTTTCTGTCGATTTTTGGGAGCGAGGTGACGATTACCATCACCACCAACATTTTGGCCAACATTTTCTTTCTCTTTCTGAGCTTGGTTGTAGAAATTGGCTTTGGCAGCAGACTGGAGGACAG